AAAGGGCCGCCGTGTGGCGAGTCTGTTCCCACACCGTCCCGCACATGTAGTGTGCAGAGCCGTGACGCGTCGGCACTTCGTGAACCACTTTGTTTTCCCTTAGGGCCGTGCCGCACCCCGTGCCGCCCACGCCGCGAATTCCGCTCCGCGAGGTGCCGTGCCGTGCCGTGCTGCAGATGCGCGAATCCGTCTCTCGCCGAGAGGCGGAGGGGATTGGGTGGGGCGCATCTCGAGGGGCGGGTCGCCGCGGCGGGAGTTTTCCACGGCGCTGCAGTGCCTCTGTGGTTCAAGCATTGGGTCCTGAGGGATGGGTGCCTACGGAGGATCGGCAGGGATCCAAGGGCGGATTTACACTGTTTGAGGCACCTTGTCCTGTGGACCCCATCCCTCAGGACCCCATCTTTGAACTACCGAGTGTCCTTTGCAGCAGAGCTGATGGCAGTCGATTCTCGCACAGAGAACCCCTCCCGAGTTTTACATCAGATAATAGAGGTAGCTCTCAGATTCCGAGGCTCGCCCCTCTTTGGAAGTCGTCGCTGGGCTTGGCACGCGGTCGGGGGGCGTTGGTTCAGGACTGTGCCCACGAGGCTTCAGATTCTGGGGGACTCCTTGTTTCGCGAGGGCGGCAGCGATGCTCGTGGCCAAGCCTCAAAATCAGTAGTCCACCGGCTTCCAGACCCTGGACTCAAGGGCTCCCACGAGGACGCGAAGTTATTCGCGCTTCGCGCTTCGCGGTCCTCATTCCTTCTTCCCTCCTCCTCGTCCTCCTCTTCTCCCTTTGGGGGGTCGGCGCGAGAGCGCGCGAACTCCTCGTCCGACGGTCCCTTACCCCATGCCCTTGCCGCCCGCTCCGCCCCCGAGGCGCCGACGCGGCACGGCCGCAGGGCCTTGGCCGCCCCCCCCCCCCCCGCCTTGGGAAGCCTCGCCGAGGCGGGCCCCCGCGGGCACGGCCCGGCAGGCCCAGAGCGCGCCCCGCGGGCGCGCCCGACGGCGTGGCGTGGCGCAGAGCGCGGCAGCGCACGCTCGGCCTGCGCGCGCGCCCGACCTTCGCGGAGTCTCGACGGCCCTCCGCCTCCGGTTTTATTTTTTGGCCCCCCCCATGTTATTATCGGGAATCGTGGCATCTGGAGTGCGAAGCCGAGCGTTGCGGGCTGGATCGCGTCCTCGGGCGCGCGGACGCACCGTTCTGTTCGGAGCGATCGGGGTCCCCCTCTTCCCCCCTCCGCCTCCGCGCGGCCGCTCTCTGCCTTTCCCCGCCCGCTGCAGTCTGGGGCTTCCGGGTGGGGTCCGAGCAGACGGGGCCAGAGGATCGCGCCGCAGCGCCGAGGCATCGGCGATGCGGCTGGATGCGGAGCCCGATGTTCTCCAGGCCGACGTCGCCGACGCACCGCCGACGTCGCCGATGCGTCGCTGAGGCATCGCCGACACATCGGCATTGGCGATGCGGCGCGATCCGCCGACCCCACCTACTCGGACCCCTATCTAGGGGGCCTCTATCCAGTGCGCCCAGTGCCTCGGCATCGCTCCTCCTCCTCCTCCTCCTCCTGCTCCTCCTCCCTCCTCCCTCCTCCTCGGCGAGGACCCTCGACGAGCCTCCGTGGGCCACCTGGCGGCAAAGAGATCCGCGCAGGAGAGCGACAAAAAACGCACACGGGGCACGGACGCCCGAGCGAGCTGGCGGGGGTGTCCCCCGGCGGGGCAGGCCGGCTCCACCGTCGCGCTCGCGCCCGCCAGCGCCGCGAGCGACAAGAATGCAGTGCGCTCGGCAGGGAGGAGGAGGGGGAGGAGGAGGAGGAGGAGGAGGGGGAGCAGGAGGAGGAGGGGGAGGAGCAGGAGGTGGAGGAGGAGGAGGAGGAGGAGCAGGAAGAGGAGGAGGAGGGGGAGGTGGAGGTGGAGGAGGAGGAGGAGGAGGAGGCACCGGACTCGCGCGCCACATCGAACGAAAAACTGTGGACGTCGTCACCAGCGAGATCGCTTTCAAGTCATCGACGCCAGGGCCGCGAGGTGTCCTCCCCGTACGGGTCGCACGTCGGGCAAGGGGCCCTGGATGGGAGAACGTCGGAGCTGGCCAGCGATTCGCCTTCGCCTCACGACAAAAGAAGGCAGGGCAGGAGCGCATTGCACTTTCTCTGTGGATCCGTGCCTCTTGTCGACATCAATATCTTTGGCGGTGGGACTGGCGATCTTCAATCATCAGGTTGTAGCCGCTGGTGCAGCCAGGGAAGGGATTCGCACGCACCGCAGTGATTCAGTTTTGCGAGAAGTAGTGCCTTCGCCATCGCAAAGAAGCGCACCGATCAGAGACTGAGACGGCGAACTTATTGCAATAGCACGCGCGTTTTTGGGTCGAGGTGCGCGCACAGGATGCGGTCATACAGAAATCGCCTGCGAACCGCAGTGCGATAGTGCTGGGGCCAAAAACCAGGGGTGGTGAGAACGGGGCCGCCAGCGAGTTGTTGGCCGAGTCTGCTAACGGACTCGCACACTATCGGCATTTGCA